AATAAAAAAGTTTCAATGAAAAAGACTGTATATATCCAGTGTCTTTCCCAAAAGACTGACCACAACTGCTCCCTGCAGGGGCTCTGGCTCCAGGTTCTGAGCACGGTGCCCTAGGACACCATGCTTCCGTCCACCCACGAGAGGACACCGCTAGGACAAAGGGTCCAGAACACTGAGCTCGCCTCTCGGGGGGCACCAGCCCCACCTGTGGTCCCTGCCCTCTGAACAACAGCTGCACGGTGTGTCCTGAGCCCGTATCACAGGGACTAACCTTGACGTCCCGAAGGCCAGAGACATCCCGCGGAGTCCGAGAGCAGCTGCGGCTGCCAGCTACAGACGTGGGTGGGACAGAGTCCTCCCGTTTCCTCTTCCTAGTAATGCTCCGGGACCTTCTGGCCTGGACTGCATAATGGGCCTGAAAAGCACGAATAGCAAATTCAGGGCTGTGGTCACACACACGAAATTATACCGACAGGACACGCAAGAGTTTTGAAAGACGTTACTGAATACGCTAAAGTTCTTTAACATTACATTAGTTACTGGTCAAATATTCTTTTTCACTTAACACACTGCTTGATGTTACAAATAGGATTTTTTTTTTTTTTTAAATTTGTTTGACAGAGAGAGACACAGCGAGAGAGGGAACACAAGCAGGGGGAGTGGGAGAGGGAGAAGCAGGCTTCCCGCTGAGCAGGGAGCCCGATGTGGGGCTCGATCCCAGAACGCCGGGATCATGACCTGAGCCAAAGGCAGACGCTTAACCATCTGAGCCACCCAGGCACCCCTAAGCATCCGACTCTTGATTTTGGCTCAGGTCATGATCTCAGGGTCCTGATTCAAGCTCAGCATGGGGTTCTGCGCTCAGTGGGGAGTCTGCTTCAGATTCTCTCTGCCCTTCTCCCCACTCACACACACTCTAAAATAAATAAAAGCTTAAAAAATACATATTAAATATATATATATATATGCTCCAGCGTAATTCATCAAGAAAAAAAAATCAGAATTTCAATAGTTATCTGAAATACCTTTTAATCGTTGGGCCCCCAGGAAAACAGTTCTGAACTATTTACAGCCCAAGCTCCTCTCATGTTGAGACTAAATATACCCTCATATACCTATCTGATCACTAAACTGATGCTAAGACGCTACATGAAGACTGCAGTCACCAAAATCAAAGTTCAAGTTAAAAATTAAAAAAATAAGTTTACGTTTTTTCTCTGACATTCTATTCCAACTTGTATTTTTCCCAGACACAAATTACTTCTACTTTATTGTATATTACTTACACATCACCTTATATTCTGAGTTGATAGCAAATGAATTTTTAATTTTATTATGTTAGTCACCATACGTCATTAGTTTTTGACATACTGTTCCTTCTTTGCATGACAGCAAATGAAGTTTTAAACAACCACCCCAAGAAGCCTAAGATAAACTAAGAGTTTTTACTCAAAAACTATCCTAAAAATGCTATACCACAATGGGAAATAAGTATGAAATACAAATATGGTTACAAATACATTTTCAAGAAAAAAACCGAAGGATTAAAGTCCTCTGTACAAAAAGCTGAATAAAAAGGTATAAACTGCATGTCAACCTAGATTATTTCTGTGTGCTGTAAACACAGGTGATTTTTTTTTCCTTTCTTGTTTTTGGTATTTTTCATATTTTCCATTAACCTGGAATGAAAAATGATGTAGGCACAAATATGATAAAACACTGACAAAAAGAAAAAAAAAAAAAAAAGAACAAAAACCCAAAAAACCCCAAACCCCACAAAGAAAAGCACACTGGGGCCGCCCCACACTCAGGGCCACACGGAGTATGCAAGGTGTCCCTCAAGTCTTCCTGCATCAACAAGAACGGAGCCTGAAAACAGCGCCCACACCATCAACAGGGGCCCTGGAGCCAAGTGCCCTGAGCCATCCTGAGGGGCCGGTGGATGGTGGTGGGCAAACACACTCTCAGCACTTCCAAGCCACTCCTCCACACACACTCCAAGTTCTCCTTTCTTCTGTAACCAGCTCCACCAGCCCCCGGGTTTCTAAGAGCCTGGTGTCCTAAGACAGAGCCGTCCGTGTCCCAGGATCACCTCCACACACTTACGTTGTTTTTGTCATCCATGTCAACACCAAGACTGCGCATCTCATCCTCCAAGACTTTCCGCTGAACCTGAACATGGGGGAAAGGGATTTAAGCAAAATTACTTTGATGAATGTTTAGAAAAAAAAAAAATTCAAGGAAAAATGTGCCTTTTACAATGATATACATTACATTTTTTCTAGGAATTAAAACTTTTAATCGAGCTCAGGTTTGTATTTTTGGACAAGCATTAAAACCGTGGAAACCAGCATCTCCCAGGCAGTGGCCATGTGTAAGACGACGTACGCGTCATGTCCTCGGGTTCTGCATGACTCTGCAGGGAAGTCTCTGCCTGAAGGGTCCCTGATGCTGAGGTCACATGATGTGCCCCAAGATGCAAACTCCAGCCACAGCGTTTCCTCCCAAACCCACTGAGCACGACTGGGGACACAGACGAATGTCCAGTCTACCAAGAACCACTCGTTTGCCATCTCATGAAAACAGTACTCAGACATACTAATGTCCACAGAAAAGTGTCTGGAATGTCACTGTTTCCTTTCCTCTCCTGCCACATTTTAGCTGCCTTGCACGCCATCCTATCACATCCCGCAGTCTGAGGGCGCCCACAGGACCTGGGCTCACCTGCCGCCCTGACGAGCACAGAGCAGGAGAGAAAAATACTACAAAGATGGGGCTGAGACCGGAAAGAATTCTATCATTTGACCACTCTGTGCCTAAAGTGTGACTCTCCCCGTTCTAACCAGTCATAGGAGCCAAGAAATTGCCCGAGGATTTAAGCTGGACTGGCTTAGGTTTCTGTAAATTGCAAAAGAGGAGTCCTGACTCAGAGAAATTAAAGAACAGGAACATGGTGACTGATGGCTTTTCTGCCACAAATCCCAAACCACAACCTTACTCTGTTCGACTGCAGAGGCTGACTCTGACAGTGCCGAACCCGAGAGTCACCAGGAAAGGGCCCCATTAGCAGAATGCAGCAGACCAGAGCTCAACGCACCTCAAACGCTAGGACGTATCAACAAAACAAAGTCAGTGCAATCCCATGGCCACAGCCACATTTAGGTTGAAATGCTGCACTTAGCAATGACTGTATGAGAACCCAGCACCGCACAGGCTAGTCCTGGCGCTCTGGATACACAGAACTTGCCTTCTTAGCGGTCCGAGGCATCCTGGGGCCCTGTGTGTTCTTCTCCTTGGACTGCAGAATTTTCAGTTTCTTTTTTTCCCGAATTTGCTTCGCCAGCTGGCGGATCTCCCCCATCTCTTCGTCCTCACTGTCAGACTCGCTGTCATACTCCCCTGCTGCTGTCCTTAGCTCTTCCTCTTTTTCTAACTCTTCCAGTTTCTTTAAAAAGAATTGTCATTAAACACAACAACGAAAAACTCTCAAGCGTAGCAATGTTCCCGCGGGAGCTCGGTTCCCCTCGGCCTTGCAGGGGGCGCTGAACGCCTGCGCCCGGTCCCGCACAGGAACGCCCAAGAGCTCACCTCCCAGCAGTGAGCCCACACGCCCCGTGAGCTGTCCTGTGCTGTTTCTTTCTCTTTACCAACAATTACTGCAGACGTCAAGGTGAAATATACAGACATCACCTCACGCCCCAGCACTACCCCCTACCCTACACACACGAGAACACTTCCTGCGGAAAAACTAGGAACTTACCAATGTGAGCTGGTATGGGATTACGACATCCCCTTTATCCGTTCTAAGGCCATCCCCAAACACAAATGCCCCTGCTAGCTACACAGTTTAGGAAAAACAAGTTATGGTCACGCCTGGCTGGCTCAGTCTGTGGAGTGTGCGACTCCTGATCTCAGGATCCTGTGTTCAGGCCCCACGCTGGGCAGAGAGATTACTTAAAGGAGCCCATGACAGGGTTCCTGGGGCCAGGAGTGTGGGCCTCAGTGTGCAAATGGAGGGGCCTGCCCAGCAGAGCACCCTGCAGATTGAAAATGTAAATGAAGGGCAGCATTTGGGAAGGAGTAGGAAATGAGGGAGCACTGACAGGAAATACTTGTATCTTTTCAAAAACCTCGACCGAGGAGAGAGGGGCGAGACAGCAACTAATGGAAGACACAGGGTTTAAGAAAGGTTCTGTTTTTTAAAGAGGAACCCGCTAAGGAACAGCCAATAGGAGGAAGCCACCACTGAGGAGAAAAGCTCCAGGAGACGTGAACAGGTCAGGTCGGAGGACAGGGAGCTCACGGCCCAGAGTCCACCTGCCCCACGAAGGAGGCCGTGTCTCAGAACAGAGAGAAAGCAGAGTCCTGGGGTCTCTGGGACCCTCGGTACGAGCAGGCTGCTGGTGACGGGGTGGGGAGGCTCGCGATGTAGAAGGAACACGGGTGACAAGTCCAGGTAGGTCAACAGCCATCCTGGTACCTTCACGGTCACATAAGTAATAAAAATCACACAATTTAGCAAGACACAGACCTGCAGGATGTCGGGATCAATATAATCAGCTACGTTATGGCCTTCCCAGATCTCAGGTATCTTATCGTATCTCTCAGAGGAGTTCATCAGATCCCAGTACTCTAAAGTAGAAAAGAAAGGTTAGGTTTACTATAGTTTTTAATACCTTCAACCACGTCTCTCCAGGAAAATAACAGAGCACTTGCATCCAACGCCCCAGCAAAGAAACACATGCCCAGGGTCACACAGCGTCTCAGGACCACGAGCCTAGAGCGGGAGGTGAAGGCAGGGGCGGCAGACCATCAGCAGCAGCGGCCTGCAGCACGCCAGCTAAACACCACCCTCCTGGAGCCCCCGAAACCACCCGCAAGAAGCCTCAAGCCGAGCCGCACACAACCTCATCCCTAAGAAAGATTAAGGCGCAGCTGCAGGGCGCGCGGGCACTGAAGCCCTCCCGCAGCTTCCTGAGCCGGACATCCGCCCTTACTCTGAAGGTCCAAAACATAATCGTCTCCCAGCTCCACTTCAAGGTCTCGTTCCTGCAACGAAGGGGCAGAGCACTCCCATCAGCTCTTGCTGGCCTTCCAGGTGCACAAGTGCTGAGCCCCTCCTCGCCCCCGGGAGACGACCTCTCCTCCAACCCGCCAGCCCATCCGTGTAACGCCCGTGCGGCCCAGCTCCCATGTCCCGGGGGCCCCACCACTCACATCCACGCTCGCCAAGCCTGACAGCACAGGCCCGGATGCCCTCAGTGTCATGTCCCGTGCCCGCCCCGGGCACACGCAGCCTTCTGCACTGCTGAAGCAGACCTACCCGTTTCCTCCTGGGCTCCCCAATGTCCATTCTCTTCCTGCGTGCCACCACTCCCTCGGGGATGAAAGGGGGCCTCTCCTGAGGGGACACCACCAGAAAGAGTTCCGTGAAATGCCTTGCTGAATACAAAAGGAACATAAAAGCGAAAAACCAGAGGCACACTCCCCCTCTGCAAAGCCAGACCAATTCCAAACCAGCAGATGACTGTGTGGGGGTGCAGGGCCAGCTGGGCAAGGAAACAGAAAGACTCCATAGCTGATCCAAAGTTTATTTCTATTTTTTTTCTAAAGATTTTATTTATTTAAGAGAGAGAAAGAGAGAGCACAAGCAGGGGGGAGAGTGGCAGGCAGAGGGAGAGGGAGAAGCAGACTCCCCGCTGAGCAGGGAGCCCGACGTGGGACTCGATCCTGGGACTCCAAGATCATGACCTGAGCTGAAGGTAGACGCTTATCCAACTGAGCCACCCAGGTGCCCCTCCAAGGTTTATTTAGAAAAAATAAACACCAAGATTCTCGAGAAAAATTACAAACAAAAGAGCAACACAGAAGAAACAAAGCAGACGAAAGCAATCTAGACAGAAACCCAACACACAGGAGAATTTAATGGAAAGATACAGGATTCGATCATCAGTTTTGAGATAAATGACAACATACCTGGGTAGCTGCCTGCTTCCCAAGAACAAAACAAATGCAAGACTGAGCAAAAACTTATGTTCAAAACAGGTAAAATTAAAAAAATGAAACCATTCAAATATAGAAAAAATACTTTTAAAGAATATTTTTGGGGGTGCCTGGGTGGCTCAGTCATTAAGCATCTGCCTTCGGCTCAGGTCATGATCCCAGGGTCCTGGGATCGAGCCCCGCATCAGGCTCCTGCTCTGCGGGAAGCCTGCTTCTCCCTCTCCCACTCCCCCTGCTTGTGTTCCCTCTCTCGCTGTGTCTGTCAAAAAATAAATAAAATCTTTAAAAAAAAAAAAAAAAAAAAGAATATTTTTGAAATGAATGGTAGGCCTTTCTGTGCATAACCAACAGCCGCAAAAAAATATCAATATTAGCTAATAACATATATTTAAAAAATAAGTATTAAATAGCATATTAAAAACGTGTAATCTGAGACTGAAAAAGGAAACCCAAGTCAAAAAGCCAACCAAAGAACTAAAACAGCAACAACAACAACAAAAAAACCCCGGGATGCCTGGGTGGCTCAGTTGTTAAGCGTCTGCCTTCGGCTCAGGTCATGATACCAGGGTCCTGGGATGGAGCCCCACATCAGGCTCCTGCTCTGCGGGAAGCCTGCTTCTCCCTCTCCCACTCCCCCTGCTTGTGTTCCCTCTCTCACTGTCAGATAAATAAATAAAATCTTTAAAAATAAAAACAAAAAATCCTACAGAACATATGAGAGTCTGATTTCCTTTACAAAAAAGCTATACATTAAATGAATAAAAGATAAATCACCTAAAGAACAGGCCAATAAGCTCATGAAAAAAGCTTGTCTGAAAGGGCACCCGGCCGGCTCAGTTGGTGCAGCATGCCAACTCTTGATCTCAGGATTCTGAGTTCAAGCCCCATGTGTACAGATTACATAAAAATAAAATCTTTAAGAATAAAAAAATGCTGGGACGCCTGGGTGGCTCAGTCAGTTAAGCGGCTGCCTTCAGTTCAGGTCATGATCCCAGTGCTCTGGGATCAAGTCCCGCATCGGGCTCCTTGCTCAGCAGGGAGCCTGCTTCTCCCTCTGCCTGCAGCTACCCCTGCTTGTACTCTCGCTCACTCTCTCTCGCCCACGCTCTCTCTTTCTAACAAATAAATAAATAAAATCTTTAAAAAAAAAAATGCTCGCATGGGCTATTCATGAAGGAAATTCCAGCAGTGGGACACTCAGCATCAAAGATCTGGGAAACACACAGCATGACCCAGGAAGGGTGTCTGGAGGATGCTGACCTTCTCAACTCCCTACCGTAAAATTCACTCTATGTATACATCTGCAATTAAAAACAAAGACTTATGGATAAAGATGTGTAACTAAGCACTGTAACAGCAAGAAAACCAACAACAAAAACTTTTTCTTAAAGACTGATTTACTTTAGAGAGAGAGCACAAGTGGGAAGAACAGGCAGAAGAAGAGAGAATCTCAGAACCCCGCTGAGTGCTGACCACCACCCCGCCCGGCCCCGGGGCTCGATCCCATGACCCTGAGGATCAGAACCTGAGCTGAAACCAAGGGTTAGATGCTTAACTGACCGCGCCACCCAGGTGCCCCAGCACAGAAAAAATTTTAAGGAATGTTGATTCTATAAAATATGCTTACACACCAGAAAGACATTACTAAGCGCCTCTGGTGGAGTGAGCAGCAGACGCTACCTCTGCACTTGTGTACGTCAGGACACACGTCATTTTTACTCCGCGTGAGTGTGCACAGCACCTGTGAGCCCCGAGTGAGGCAGGTGCCGGCTCGCAGGCTCTTGGGAAGGCCAACCTCACCTTGTCGTCTCTCTTGTTCGGCACGGCCAGATGCAGCCTGTTGAGCACCTCGTTCACTTTATTTCCTTTCATTTTGGTTTCAACTCGATGAGCCAGAAGCCTGTCACAAGCCTGAGGTGAGGAAACAGGGCCAGACTCACAAGGCATCCCGCCTTCTGGTCTGGAGGCGGGGGTGTGGGACAGGAACCAGAGCCCCCCGCTCACCAGCAAACTGTGTTCCAAAGCTTTGGACCCCGCTACATGCTTTTCCTCAGGAGTCACAGTGGCTGGTGCTGTCCTGGGGATCACCCCGACGTCCATGTAACCCCTCGGGGCAGACTGCACGTTCAGGGGGGAACAGGCCCCCTTCCCAGGCCAGCCCAGGCTGGGGCAGCACCCCGAGGCAACACTCCATGGCCCTTCCAGGCCTGCCCCCCACCACGAGCAGCCCTCATGCTGTGCCCCCAGCCAGGTCCATAACCCCCCTCGGACTCTGACTGGAGCAGCAGAGCCGAGTCAACCACAGCATCAAACCCGCCTTTCTTTCTATTTCACATAAAAATAACAACGTAAGCGATCAGAATCACATGTGAAACCTAAAGGAAAGGTCTCTCTCCATGCTCCCTTTGCTCCTTCGACTTCTACACAAGTTCGTGACAGTACAGCTCCCACAGCCATCCTGACAGGTCAGGATGGACAGCAGGCGGTGGACGAAGCGAAGCCACCCGTGCGGGAGTCAGAGTGTCCCCTCAAGCCCCACATTCAACTGGGCGGGTGGGGACCAGGCTCAGTGCTGTGCACACGCTCTCCCGCCTGGCCGCCTCGACGGCTCCCTGCCCACAACACCTGCAGAGAATGCTTCCTTCCCCACAATGGACTCCTCTGACCACAAAGGCGATAAAGGGATGGATGAAGCACTGACCTCTGTTTTCACTTGAATAACCCCTTCCTCCGTCAGGGTGCTAGTCTCAACCACAGGAAATCCTGCAGCCTGCAAATCTGCAAATATTTTCTGGGAAGACAAAAGAAAAACGAAAGAGCCATTATTTATTTCCACCTCCCCACGAACAAGTCTTACTGTTCTTCATACGAGGACCATAAATGCTAGTTAGCACGTCCATGGTTCGTTTCTAAATTCTTCTAAAGGACATTTCCCCCAAATGCTGATCTCTCCCTACATTCTTCTGCGATTAAGAAAATACCCATTACCGGGAAGATCAAACCAGACTACAGAAGCAAACCAGAGGCTCCCTGGAACATTCTTCTGTAAGACGTCATCTTCTAAAAAGAAACCCAGCAACATCAAGCTACAGAATTTTTTTTTAGTATATTTTCAACGCTATTTTTCTTTTCTTTTTTTTTTTTTTAAAGATTTTTTATTTATTTATTTGACAGAGAGAGAGAGATAGCGAGAGCAGGAACACAAGCAGGGGGAGTGGGAGAGGGAGAAGCAGGCTTCCCGCCAAGCAGGGAGCCCGATGTGGGACTCGATCCCAGGACTCTGGGATCATGACCTGAGCCGAAGGCAGACGCTTAACAACTGAGCCACCCAGGCGCCCTCAACGCTATTTTTAAAGAAAACATTTGGCCTCTACAACCTAAGAGAATTCCTTACAAAACAACACAGAAACATATAAATCACTCCGATTTGGAACGAGGGGCTTCGCTTGTGCACCTCATCCCCAGCGCCCCCTCGTCCAGACACAGACGTCAACCCTGTGACAGGAAAGCTTGTCACAAACAAGGCCAGCACAATCACTTCGGGGTCCCACTTACCAGGGAGACTGCCCCCTCCCCCGCAAAGAGCAGTGGTCTTGGGGACACCGTGGTCTGACTAGCCTCTGAGCTCACAGTGACCCCGTTCATCGCACATGAGACAGGCAACAAGCCAGAGCCTCGGGCACACGGCCACGCCATTGGGTTAACCCGGCAGCACCATCGCGATGGCATCCGCTGCCCACGTGCCTTCCAATTTCGTTCAATCTGCCTGTCGAGGCTGCTGACGAACCACCCAGGGCTGCAACTGTTAGCACCAGTGACGGCAGAACGGAGACCACACCCCCGTCACTGCGGGCACATGGCGGGATGGCGGGGCCTGGGCAAGCCTGACCTCGAAGCCTGAGCAGCTGGCTCAGCCTAACCTCCGGGCTTCGCAGCTTAACCTTCGTCTCCCCTTTCAGCGCAAGCACCTAAAAACCAGGATCACTTAGTAGGGACCTGGGTCCTCTCCAACCCAAGCGAATACTCTAATGTCCGTGCGTACCTAGTTAGTAACTGAATGAACATGCTGTGGTGCCCGATATCCAGCACGGCTGTTTAAAAAGCCCTCCCTCTTCGCAAGTATGACATGTCCAACTAGTACAAGACAGAGGCGCTGGGAAGGGACGGCACGCCACCCCCTGGAGACCCTCCATGTTGAGCTGGTCAGTGACACGCACTCCAGGAGATGGGGCCACAGTGAGGTTATTCTAGTGCCTGCTTCTCCAAGCTCCAGGGTGACCCACCCCGGGGGGTGCCTCCCAGGCTCTGACCCTGCGGGCCTGGGTGTGCCCAAGAGTCTGAGAACCTCTGCGCCAGTGTAAACCTTCTCCAGGGCTGCAGGGTGAGCTGTGTGGAGAGGGAGGGCTAACCACCCAACCTGCCTCTAGAAAATACAGCGAACACTCTATACTCCCTGTCCTGGCAAGTTTACAGATGCTCCTCCTACTTCACTCACTCACTCACCTCACTTCCCAAACTCATTTTCCCACAAGTCTGTGCAGCAGGTACATGACACCCACGGAACCCTCCTACCTACAGCCCTACTCTGCAGGTGCTGCTCAGTGCACCGGGGCTCGAGGCCCGAAGAGGCAAGGCCTGTGTCAAGGTGCTGTGTGTGCCCTAAGGCACCAAGGTTAAGACCTTCCATGGGTTAACTGTGCCATCCTGCTGAACGCATGGGTATTCCCACAGCCTCGAAGGCAGAGCAGAGCTCAGGGAAGGCCAGGTTTAGTCTGCCACCAATAAACCAGTGAGGATACTACCTCAACTGTAGAATAAAAACACGGGCTAGTATTGCTAAAATTCCTTCTAACCCCTGGTGGTCTGAAATAAGATTTGGAATTAGCTAAGAAATACCCAAAACATTAAGGTGATTTACCTGATCTTCCTCAGAAAGTTCAGCTATCCTCTTCACATCGCATTTGTTTGCTACAACTATAAGAGGCTGCAACAGGGAAAACAAGTAATGAAATAATCATCCTCACAGTGCAAGTTATAAACAGAAAGTCCTCGCTCCCACCTGTACCTTGTTGATAAAGAGAGGTTTGATGTTCTGGAAGAGCTCTAGCTGCTCCTTCAGCCCGTGCCCACACTGCTCAGACAGGTCCATCACGTACAGAACCGCAGCGCGCAGGTGAGCCAGGGCTGTGATGGCCTGCATCTCAATGGTGTTCCGATCCTCCAAAGGGTGGTCCAAAATCCCCGGAGTATCTACAACCTAACGGTCAGACGTGTTACTCGAGAGCATACACACCCACAAACCTCCTGTCCAGCACATCAACGCCCACTCAACGCGTGGACTCAACGCCCACACCAGCCCTCAGAGAACCAGTACATAAAACGTAGATCTCCCAACTGACCATAATCAGATAAGCTTTAAATATGAAGACAAAAGGGGGTATGAGTGGACCCCGCAGAGCTCACTGAAGAACTAGCCAATGGGGCGCCTGGGTGGCTCAGTTGGTTGAGCGACTGCCTT